GTGTAATTGATCTGCGGTCAGAAGTATTATTGACGTTCGTTGACATAGCGTTTGTTTTAGCGCGATTGTTGAAGTTGAGTGTATCGGTAAAGTTATATTCGGAAAGAATAAACCAGTTTTATTAAGTAAAGACTTGTGTCGTTAAAATTTCGTCGGAACAGAGTTACGGAAAAATCAATTAACAAACGGAGAAGTAACAATAAGCACAGAAAACTATACGCATGTGCCTGGCTATGCCGTTGTGTCATCCATCAGAGCCCCATCTCAGACAGCAGTGGGTTAAGGTTTGTATGGGCATTTCTTCATTTGTTTATAGACACTTAGAGTACCAGAATCAAGTCTACACAGTACTCTTCACTCTACCAACCTATAATGGTATACATTCTTTTCAGAGAATTTGCATGATGAATTTAACTAAAACCTGAACAGACAAGCAATTTTCCACAATAAGAAATCTACTACAGCTGGAAATTCTTGCAAAATTATGAGAAACATACACTGTTGTAGATAATGTCCAACACAGATAATTCAAATTAAAGAAACAGGCTTTTAAAGCTAAATAAATCAAACATAATCTAAAATCAAAGGTTAGAAGATAAAGCATCTGGAACTACATTCTGCAAAAGTCAAATTAAAGTGCACTTTACTGGTTATACATATGATCAATCAGATGGAAAGGAGGATTGAAGTTCTCTCAGGGTTGTGCTACTGCTGTTCTATAGCAAACATTTGATTTATCTAACTTCTTTAGACCTGGTTTCACAATACAATGCCTCGTAGGATAAATCAAATAACATCTTAAAATGAACAAATGAAATCAGCATTTACCAACATTGCAACAACATTTATGATGGGACAGCTAAAGACATAGATTTCAACATTCTCTGTTCAGCAGAGAATGAAGTTAATCTTCAGAAGAATGGGTCCTTATTGATCAAATAATTGAAATCAGAACTGAATGGAACTTCATCCTCCTTTATACTTGAAGAATGATTCATTATATGCATAAATCCAAAACGCAGAATAAGTTGATAAAAATATAGAGTCTACAATATTATTAAAATACAACGTTAGGGACTCCTACAAAACTATTAATTTTTCTTAATTAATTTAGCAATTAATATTCTTATATGTTTTCACTCATATAAAACTTTTTAATTCCTTAAAGGTAAGTAAAAACATGAATTTCAACATTAAAAGCTATGACTCTTACGGCATAACAGAGAACAGTGATAAACTATGCCATATCATTCAAAAGTTTAATATAAAAGTACCAAAATTTCAAGAATCATGCTTTCCAGTGATAAAATAAAGCTACCACTGGAACCAAATTGTTACATCATTCCTCTACACCTTTACCAAGGAATATGCTGCTGAGACACACTATTCTTTAAAAATTTGACTACATTAACATCAAAATATTAAAAACTTTGTGACAAAAACTTCAGCCTTAGCTTGTCATTTCCATGGCCTAAACCACCAAATGAACTGGAATAACATGAAAATTACAGACTAAGAAGTATACTGAAAAAAAAAGGGAGATCAAGAGAAAGACTGCCATCAGAAGTCATAACTGTGAGTACTTAAACCAAAATCTATGGCAAACTCCATTAAACAATATTTGTAAGTATAATTTATCTCTTAGTTTATCACATCAATAAATTTGAAAGCACAGTGCCACTACCAGCATAATTTCCTTTACATATAATAATAATAATAACATACAGTTATATAGCTAAGTTAACAAAAACATTAATCAACCAAAATGTGTGTATAATTATTTAGAGGAGCCTTTCTAGTATGTGTTCACACATTTAAACATTATTTAATATAAATGTAAAATAAGACTATGCACCATGACTGGCAGCGGCAACACTAACAGTATTATTAGTACTAGTACTGACACTGGCATTACTCTGATGAAGCTAAGACAGATTACTTTAAAATAATTCAATTTTGGACAGTCAAACTCTCGTTGCAAGACTAGTATAGATTACATTTTACTAGCAGTTAGTGGTAGTATTAACACTAACAGTATTGTATGTCACTGTCAGTGTTACTGTTACATTTAACTTTAAGTACTTAGGAAATGTTTCTTGTTAAACATATATTAAAGTTATCATATTTTAACGTAAGTACTCATATTTGTATAAGTTAGGTAATTTATTTGGACTATCAGTATCACCAAGTTATTTTAGTTTTTAATGCACATGCTTTCCACTCAATTACCTAAGCCTTCTAGTTCTACAGGTGCTAGACGTTTAGTAAACAACATGATAACGTGGTATCACGGCGGTAATAGTCCAAATAAATTACTTAATTATTAATACAAGCTGCATTTCCCCTACATTTTTCTAGTACTTGGTAATGGTAGTATTGTCTATTACAAAATACGTAGCAAATGTTTCTTGTTAAAACTTATATACATACATTTATCAATTGCAAAAAAAAGCCTGCAATTTCTAATTTATACCATTTACATGGTTAGCAATTTTCACAAAATGATGATAACAGTGACAAAGAATGAAGAATAATTATATTTTACTGGATTATAAATTGGAGCATCCATTCCTGACCAATCTAAACAAATTTTCTCCGTCAGATTAATTTCCACATATTGACAACTACAAGCACATAGATCTTACGAAACATATAGCCCTTTAACTCCTGGCCCTCTAACCGCCGTTTGGATTAACTACTAAACTAAGTTAATTCTTCCACCTTACAGTAATTAAACCAGTTAAGTGACCTGCCAAGACTACTTACGCATGAGGTTAATTTCGTAGAGTTCTGAACGAATCTGATGGCCGATAGGGCGTCTAAGTGATTGCAAGTTTAAAGCTATTCTACAGCATGTAATACCCACCAAAAATCTCAAGTTCAAAAGACACTTTAAGCCGAATGGTCTGATTAAAAATGACAAATCGATCGACTTATCTAGTAAGAGGCCAGATCTGGTGATGCTTTTAAAAACCTGGATATCGAGTGGCAAGTATTAAAATTCATCAGGATGGTGGTAAAAGATGAGTTCTGTGTAGACTTGGTTGATAGAAAGATGAGTTCTGTGTAGACTTGGTTGATAGAGAGAATAGTACTGTGTAGACTTGGTTAATAGAGAGAAGAGTACTGCTATCAACCAAGTCTACACAGAACTCATCTTTCTATCAACCAAGTCTGCACAGTACTCATCTTTCTATCAACCAAGTCTACACAGTACTCATCTTTCTATTAACCATGTCTACACAGTACTATTCTCTCTATCAACCAAGTCTACACAGTACTCATCTCTCTATCAACCAAGTCTACACAGTTCTCATCTCTCTATCAACCAAGTCTACACAGTACTCATCTCTCTATCAACCAAGTGTAAACAGTACTCATCTCTCTATCAACCAAGTGTAAACAGTACTCATCTCTCTATCAACCAAGTGTAAACAGTACTCATCTTTCTATCAACCAAGTGTAAATAGTACTCATCTATTAACCAAGTCTAAACAGTACTTATCTTTCTATCAACCAAGTGTAAATAGTACTCATCTATTAACCAAGTCTAAACAGTACTCATCTTTCTGTCAACCAAGTTTAAAGAGTACTCATCTACCAATCAAGTCTACATAGAACTCATCTTTCTATCAACCAAGTTTAAAGAGTACTCATCTACCAATCAAGTCTACATAGAACTCATCTTTCTATCAACCAAGACTACACAGAACTCATCTTTCTATCAACCAAGTCTACACAGAACTCACCTTTCTATCAACCAAGTCTAGATGGTACTCATCCCTCTATCAACCAAGTCTACACAGAACTCACCTTTCTATCAATCAAGTCTACACAGAACTCATCTTTCTATCAACCAAGTCTACACAGTACTCATCTTTCTATCAACCAAGTCTACACAGTACTCATCTTTCTATCAACCAAGTGTAAAGAAAGATGAGTTCTGTGTAGACTTGGTTGATAGAGAGATGAGTATTGTGTAGACTTGGTTAATAGAGAGATGATTACTTTTTAGACTTGATTGATAGAGAGATGATTACTTTTTAGACTTGATTGTTAGAGAGATGATTACTTTTTAGACTTGATTGATAGAGAGATGCTTACTTTTAGACTTGTTTGATAGAAAGATGAGTTCTGTGTAGACTTGATTGGTAGATGAGTACTGTTTAAACATAGTTGGTAGAAAGATGAG